CTAAAAGGATTGGAATTATAGGTTTTGTATACATATTACACTGGCAACATTTGTCTGTTATATTCAAGGGTACACTCTTTGACACAATCTCACCATCTACATATAACACAGACTTCTTAAAATACAAATAGGTTGCCTCAACTTGAATGCTACCACTCTGAATGATGCCATACTCATGCTTGACCTTAATTATCCAACCAGACATATGTCTTCCCCATTCTTCATCAAAAGGTCTGCTTGTTGATGGATAGCCAAAGGAATCAGTATTCAATTCATTTTGTTCAGTGGCTTTTAATAATAATTCATTCATAATAAAATACTGACATTGATACTGCCAAAGAGCCACTGCATAATACTGTGGAAATGCTGCTTTGCTGTCTGGCATGGGGTATGCAAGAACTGACCAAACGTATGACTCAACATTTTGTTGCCTGTCTAAAAGGCTGCAGCTGGATTGAAATCGGTATCCATGCATATATACAGCTTTCCTTTTGAAGGATATTTTCAATGTGAGCTTTGGAGTTACTTTGCACTGGAGAACACCTGAAGCAAAGGACAAGTTTGTCACCCCACCCATAAAATGTGTTAATATCTTACATGGGCTGGCTTCATTGGACTCGGAGAGGTTTTCTTGAAACTGCCCTTCATCGTATATTTTTTTTAAGTGGTTAAGATTTTTGGGAGTGTTCCCAAACCATACACAGACTGCCCTCCATGCAACATGGACATTGAATATCACCTTGGATTTTGCCAATGGCATCACCCAAGCTATCAATGGAACCTTTCTATTTTGGAAGAAATTACAAAGGGATGCATTAGATTTAAATTTTATTCCATTGATGTAAAACTCCTCTTTAGTAAATGCAATTACATCAACGAAGCTTGTCATAAGTCCCTGTTCTTGATCTGCCATCATCAATGAACCTTTCATGAGTCCAGAATACTGTTGTATCGGTATTATCACAGAAGTGTCATTAGATTCAGTAGAATTACAGGTGTAAAGTCTTTTACTCTTTCTAATGACTCCAACTGCACCCTCTAGCTCAGGGACAGTAGAGCTGATTTTGGAAAAATAATCATCATTGTCTTGAGAAAATTTCATGTCATTATTCAGGACTGCACAACTTCTTTTACCAGTTATGCCCATGATGCTGTCTAAGTCTTTCCACTCAGGTATGCGAATAATACAAAATCTGGAGATTTGATGCCTCACTACATCTGGCATATCTCCTTGCCAGGCAAACATAGCTACCCAAGTGTCTGGACCATAAATGCCCTTAGGCCATGTAGGCAGGTGAGGCTCAGGTCCTCCATATTTCTCTTTTGCCAATACATTCAGTTTTATAATGTAAGAGTGAATAAGAGGATCATTGCCATTCAAACTACTTTCATTGTCATTTTCACATCTTTCTCCATATATATAAAAGTTCTCTTTCAGAACCATAACACTATTTCTTAAGTCACCAAACAGTATTTTATCTTTAAAATGTTTGAATGGCTTACCAGTGTAGTAGCTGAGAGGCATATAAATGGCATTTTGTTGCTGAACTTTTTCTTCAACTAACTCTGGAATGCAACCTATCCATGCACACCATGCTAACCATCGAAGCTTTCCAGAGAAGTTGTACGGCCAATCTGGTGGATTTTTGTAGATTTTTACATAACTGTATAAGTCTGGAGAATCATGCCAAGTACTATTCTCTAATTTTTGCTGTAAATCTTCAACATCATCCTGGGTTGCTTTCTTGCCATGAATGTATAGATCTTCAATACTGACCACAGCAACATTCCTCTGATCAGTAAAAAATACTTTGTCTTCCCAGAAGGCTCTTATCTTTCCCAAGTAATAATATAAAATACTCTCATCCTCTTTGAGTGTTATCCTTGATGCTGAGCTCATTCTGCTTTTCCTTATAACCTTCACAACAAACTGTAACCTTATCCTTTGTCTTGATGGCTATATGTACTCCTGTTTCTTTCCCTTCATCTCTTTAATCTGAAGTGCTATACATACTAAAAGTCTGCCTAGGCACATTGTACCTAAGTCCTGCCCCATCAACTTGACATGTTTGGTGTCTGCATAATCTGAAAGATAGAAAGCAGTGTAATTCTAAAGTCTCTTAAAATTTCACCTGTTTTCAACTGAGGAATTTAGGAATAATACATAATGTTATGAATCAAATTTACCAAAAACTCACTTATCATGTAAAACAGAACAGTTTTTTTGTTTTATTTCATAAATTCTTCTGAAGGCAAATTAAATAACTTAATGTAAAAAAAAATTCACATACACTGTACTACACCTTCCCTTTTTGCATTATTTCTTTGTGCAGACCTTTGACCTGTAATAAAAAAAGGTGATTCCAGACATTTATGTTTCAATGGTTCTCAAGCCAAATTATCCTATACACAACTCACTAAACAACAACTGAGGAGTTAACCCGCTGTCCCCAGAGATGGCATGTACATACATGTCATGTCCACTGTGACTTTAGCTTATCAATTCTGTTTACACATATATAGCTCTACAAGAGCTTAGTCACCAAGGCGTTTATTACAAGTCCTACTATCTCACTGTTTTTTTCTTTACCAAGTTTTTTGTATAATTTTTTTTTTTTCTTTTATTACTACTGGTAAATTAATGACACTATAATAATCATAAAAATCATAACCAAATCAGTACCTATAATAACATTAAACAAAACAAAAAATCCCAGAAAATTTAAAGAATGGTGATATTAAGTAAGGTTACACTGAACCTGCTAACTGACTCTGGTTACATGTAAACAAAATTCACTAAAACCTACAGTGGACAATACAAGTACCGAACACCAATAGCAATGGGCTAAATATCTGTTTGAATGAGGTTTCTCTTGTCTTAGCTACCCTGACCTGGTTTCTTGCACCTAAGAGGAACCAGCATCCTGCAATAAGATGTACAGCAGCAGTATGAGTAATTCTAACACTGTAGGAATAAAAGTAGACAAACAAGAAATACATGTAGTAGTAATATGAATTGTTGTAGTAACAGCAGAAGCTGCAAAATTTGTTAAGAATTAAAGCGAGTTCAGTAATAAATAAGTGACATCAGTAATAATAATAGTATCTCTTATCATTATCATCATCACCATTATCATTTACACTGTTTATCATTATTATTACAGTGACAATTACTAAGTATGTCATAATATCATAATTTATTATTGTTGTTATATTTCTCATCAACTCATCATAACTATTAACCACTGTTATCATATCAATCATCGTAGTTCTTAAAATCAATAATCATTACATTTATTGACAATTTATTATAATCTTTAATAACATTCCTACCACTTAAAAAACTATGATCAATATCAATATTACCATTATCATCATCAACAACAACAGCAGCACGACTTCTACTACTAATATTATTATCATTATCATAATCAAAAATGACAAAAATAATAATAACAATCATAGTAACAATAACAATAATAATCATAACAATAATGAAAACGATAGTGATAATTCCAATAATAATAATGATAATAATAATGATAACAATAATAATAATAATCATAATAACAACAACAATAATATTTATATTAATAATAATAATATTAATAATAATATTAAAAATTATTATAATAATATTACCAACAATAATAATATCAACAATAATTATATTAACAATAAAAATATTAATAAGAGTAATAATAATAGCAACAACAATAACAGTAAAAATAATAGGACAATAATAATAATGATTATAACAATAATAATGATAATAGGATTAATAACAATAATAGAAAAAATAACAATAATAATAATAATAATAATAATAATGAACAATATTAAAGATTTATAATAATAATGATTAATAATGATAATAACTGATAATAATAATAATCAATTACAAAAATAATAATAATAATAAAAAAAACAATAACAATAATAACAAAATAACATTAAAAATAACAAAAATAATAAAAATATAAATAACTGTAGCAAAAATATGAATATATATAACAATAATATTATTTTCATAACTAAAACTATCATTACTACATCTACTACTAATAATAACAATAATAATAATAACAATAACAATAACAATAATAACAGTAATAATAATGATAAAAATAATAAAAATAATAAAAATAATAAAAATAATAATGATGATGATAATGAATGATGCTAATGTTAATGAATGATGATAATGATAATGAATGATTATCGAATGACGACGACGACGACAATAATCATAATATAATAATAATAATATAATATATTAATATTATTAATATTAATAATATTAATATTAATAATATTAATATTAATAATATCAATATTGATAATATTAATATCAATAATATTAATATTAATAATATCAATACTAATAATAACAATAATAACAATAATAATAACAATAATACCAATAATAATAATACCAATAATAATAATAGATAATAGTAATAATAATTACAGTATTAACGATAACTATAACATCTGTAACAATAATAACAATAACAATAACTACAATTACCATGACTACTACAACTACTACTAAATAAAATACCAACAATACAATAATAATAATAATAATAATAATAATAATAATAATAATAATAATAATAATAATAATAATAATAACAATAATAATAATAATAATAATAATAACAATAATAATAACAATAACAATAACAATAACAATAATAGTAATAATAATAATAATAATAATAATAATAATAATAATAATAATAATAATAATAATAATAATAATATAATAATAATAATAACGATAACTATAACATTAACAGTAACAATAACAATAACAATAACAATAACAATAACAATAACAGTAGTAGTAGTAGTAGTAGTAGTAGTAGTAGTAGTAGTAGTAGTAGTAGTAGTAGTAGTAATAATATCAATAATAATAATATCAATAATAATAATACCAATAATAATAATTTCAATAATCATAATTTCAATAATAATAATAATAATAATAATAA